ACAAAAACTATTGCAATCTAGAAATATAATGTAATGTATTTCAAAGCTATTTCTAAAAAAAATAAAAATTAAATTAAAATACATCACATCACATTAAATGGACTCACAAAAACAATTGAAAACAAGGACAACTGTAACTGGCGAATTCTACTAAATAAAATAATGCTCAATCCGAACAATTTTAATTAATATCACAAAAAATCAAAGCAAATATATGGTTAACATTACGTGCTTTTCAAGTCATTAAAAAGTATACAACTAAGCCCCCCAATAATTATAAATAAAAAAGAGAATGATAAACTGCACATGAGATAATGTGGAATAAATTTATACAGAATAAATCATGGAAGTAAACGGAAAAATCAAGTGATGCTGAAGCGGAAATTAAGGGGAAATTAAGTGAAAGCGAAGCGGGCATAAATCAAGCCGCAAAGTGATGGGCGGAAGAACGGAGAAACCCCTCACTTGCAACTTCATTCTTTCATTGAGTCTTCTTTTGGATCCTGCCCTCGGTTTTTTTGCGTAATTTTCCCGCTCGTTCCAGTGGCGGCGGTGTGCTTTTCTGGCTTTTTAATTGCCACTTACGGGCTCTGGCTTAGACCAAAAGCCCCGTCAAAAGCCCTTGATGCAGTGCCCTGGGTCGTGAATCCTGTTTTTCCGCCTAATTTATATTTTTGTTCTTTCGGCAAACGCTTTTTATCCCTTTGTCATTTCGAATTTTTGGCGATGGGCGATGGGCGACGGCAGGCGACATAAATTAAACTAAACTAATTGCGTATACGACGCGTATGCCTTAAGTGGGCTTTGCCAAGGACATCGGCAAGGACATTGCTTTGGGGCTTAGTCCATGTTGATCCTGCACACAGCACTCGTTTTTTATTATCCCGAAATTTTCGCGTATCCTTAGGGGGATTTGTGGCCATGATTTAGTAGTGTGCAGTGTCATTAAAATTTAATTAAATGCCCCGAAGAGCAAACGAATAAGTTCCAGCAAACCAGAAATAGGGCACTGATGACGCCGCCTCATTATTGTCATTATTACCATTTCTTGGCAGCCGCATTATTACTATTATTATTGCCAACATTGCCAACATATCCGCCTGAGCGCAGCTATTTCAAACGAAATTCGTTTTGTCTCCGAGCTTGTAATAATTTATAACACGATGAACTTGTCGTCCTGTCCGTGTGTCTTGCACACGCACACACACAAGCACACATCCGCAGACTGTCACGCATATGCAAATTAACTGTGTGTTACTTCATATATGTACTATACTATCCTAACTTCTAACATGGCAAAAAGGCAGACGGACTTAGACATATTTAAGGGCTTAACGTATTTGTTTTACATTTTTTTCAATCCAGGAATTTGTAATACAAAACAGAAAATTTGGATATGTATTAACTTAGATATGCATATTATGTTAATATAGGGTACTTAAAGCACACTTGCATACCTAATTGTCTTTTTAACATGGCTTTTAATGAAATTCACAGTCCAAAATTTTTGTGTTTTCATTATGTCTTTTAAAGCCATTGAAATTCTTTGGACTCTTTAGGAGCAAAGGTATGGTCTGCTTTTCATTAATTGTTTAAAGCATTAATATACCTACTATCTTAACACATATATGATCTTCACAGAAAAAGGCTCAGCAATAATGTTTACTTCTTTAATTTATTTAAACATTAAAATTATTCAATATTTATCGTTAAAGGTGTGATTTGTAGTTCCTATTTCTTTAAAGTCCCTATCTCTTATTTAATTGAAATTTCAATTAAGTTTATGATTTCAATGAAACTGCTAATAAATATAAAGTTTCAAAAGCATTCTCTATTAGCCTGACTTTTGTAATTTTTAGACACTTTTCATGGAAATTCCATTTTGCAAAGTCTCAATCTTAATCTCACTCTAAAAGCTTCCTTTCAATTAGGCAACTAACCAAGTCATGTTTATTCCTATAGTATACCCTATATATACTGCCTGTGTCCTGAAAGGGAAAAAGCCGTCATCACCATCATCATCATCGTAATGATTGTCATCGTCATCAGCGAAGCATGATAATGATAACAATAACAAACAAGCGCAGCGACAACTCTGGACTGAAAGGGGGGGGGGGGGGTTTTTTGGGTGGTGGGCGGTATGATATAAAGATTGTTGCCATATTGCTATCATTTGCACACAATCAGCGTCAACGTCAACGGGATGCGAAACAAGAGGAAAAAAAGGCAGGCAGTGAAAAGAAAGTGGGGCCGAGGTCAAAGGGCAGCGGGTGGGCGGGCTGCTGGGTAATGTATGCAGAAGGCTCACAGAGTTTCCCGACCCAACGACTCCCCCTCGAAAGGAAGTAAAATCAGTCGACAGGATGAGTCGAGGATGACGCGGAGATTGCTCGGCGTTCGTCGACGATGTTGCCAACGACCAAATTGCAGATAAAGTATAAATAAATTTAAATAAATAGCGTAAAATCAAATTTCCTAGAAAAAAAAAAGGCGAAGGGAGCCTCAAGTGGCGTGAAAATTTCCATGTGGTTGCCAGCAAATGAAAATAGGCAAATGAAAACGGTGGCACAAAAAGAATTGACTGGCAATACAATCATTAGTTAAAGAGTGAGCGGAATTGAAAATGGGGAATTTTTTCATCGAACAGAGAAAGTATTTTTCATAAGGTTACATTTATTGGATATAACAAGCAAAATGGAAAAAGTCAAAGTTCTTGGAATACTTTCGCCTTACAGATAAACAACATTGTTTCCTTGTATTTTTAAAAACATATTATAGGATAACTAATTTGTATAGGGTTTAAATCAATATTTATATTAAAAATTGAAAAATTGAAATTTGAAATTTAAGCTAAACTATGGTAATTTTCAATTCCCTTTGACACATTATTTCACCACACATTGCACGCGGTCTGTGACCACGACCTTGACCAAGGGCCTGGCATGCCCCACCCCCAGCACTACCTCCCCCTTTTCCCCCCACCCTTTTGTCTCACATTTGCCTATAATTGCCTATTAGTTTTCATTTGTTGATTTGGTTTTGCCTGCACGTGACCTTATGTTCTGGTTCTGGTTTTGATTTTCGGTTTTGGCTTTGGCTTTGGTTTAGCTTTCACTTTCACTTTCACATTCACTTTCGATATTGATATTGCTATTGGTTTGCTTTCTAGTATCGATTTGAATGTACATATGAACAAAGTACCCCATAAGTTAATGAGTAAAGTGCAGACCAATAAGGGATAATTGTGACCCTTTATTAATGGCTGTCTGTGCTTTCAATGGGGGTCAGAGTTCACCGGGGTGAGGTTTGGGAAATGCTATTTATATAAAATAGCTTTCTTTGATTAATTGCTCACCACAAGTTTTCATGAATGTTCTACAAAAACCCTATAATATATTTCAATTATTATCAGCGAAATACAAAAAATACTAATTTAAATTAATTTATTGGGTTAGATTTGAATAATAACTAATAAAAACATTTTGAAAATCTATGTGTCAAATTAATTGACATTAAGCTTTTTTTTCAATATTCAAAACCTTTCGGTTGCCAATAAAACTTTAATAAAATGTCTTAGAACATTTTGCTCACTTCTTAAATCTTAAAATACTTCTAGACATTTTTTCATTGTCATTCTTTAATGTCAACTCTTCACCGACTTTTGACCAAAAAGTCAGAGAGCGATGACCAAATTAAAGCATTCATATTTGGATTGTTCGGAATTTGCTTTATGTCGGTCAGGCACTCGTCGTCCCCCCGCAGTTTGCACCCATCCATTTCAATTTCGTTTCAATTTCTTCATGGCAGCCATTCTGAATTATTTTCTTTTTGCTGTTTGTCGGTTCGTTCAACTTGGCGGCGACAGCGCCACAAATATTTCATTGTGGCATTTGCATTTTTTAGGGGGCATTATTATGGGGTCATCTTCATTCCCAGTCCGACATTAATTTCCCGAGCAAGCCGACAACTTTGAGTGTGATTGGAGAAAGTGCATTACTCGGAAATCGAAATCATTATTCATCCGCCGCCAATCTGCAGCGTTGCAAATTGGCTGGCTGAAGATGAAAGCGAGCTGCCAAAAAATACAAAAAATAATTATTTGTGACGGGTGGCAAAAGTATACGATAACGAAATGAAACTACACAGAAAGAAAGTCCTTAAATTATATCATAAAATATTACTAGAAGTGTTTGCACTAAAAATGGTTTTGTTTCTATTGATATTTAATCGATTCCTATAAGTTTTATATTTGTTTTACTGGTTAAATTCTTAAAATAATTTATCCAAGAATAATCTTAAGAACTGACTACATATATTTTTTCTTTTCTCTGTGGTATCTAAAAACATATAAGCAAGAAAATCGGGCAAGGCCTCGAAGAGCTTCCCATGGCATCAGTATTTTCACACCCCCTTCCCTTAAAATTTTCCCGCCTCTTTTCCCACAAGTACTTGCAAATTTTTCATTTCTGTCTGTCTTTTGTCTGATTTTGCTGCAATTTGTTGCTTTGGTTGGCTGCTTTTGTTATATGTTAGTTGGCAGCTGATTAATTGCCTCGCCTGTTTGTGCCACGCCTCTGCTCTGACCCTGCCCCCGATTTTGATTTGGATCGAGAGAGCTTGCTCCGCATTATAAGATTTTGTTCAATAATTTAAATCTCTAAAAATAGTTGGCTAAACTCTTGCTGTTTGAAAATAATGCCATCGCTCATTGGCTTCAGGAAAAATTGTTGGAAATTTTTAGCTATATTTTAGTTAGAAATTTAAAACATTTAAATCATACAATTTGTATTCTTATTATTAGGTAATCAAAACTTCTGAACTAACTTTAGCTGACTTTTGATTTTTTTTTAAATTTATATTTTGAAGTTAATTTGAAATTTTGGTCTTAATCGTTAAATAAATAAAATGTGTTTTTCAATTTGCGTTTTATTTCGAATTTTATTCAGTTATTAAGGCCTACGAGCTATCACAATATTTGCCATATAAAATGCTTATCCCTATCAAATCTTTACCAATCGTTCGCTGCGCTGGGCGTAGTGAAATTCGCCGTAGTACTCCTCCAGGTCGCACAGATCCCGCTGCAGCTGGGCATCGACCTTGGCCTGGTCGGCCTTCTGCCGGGCGGACGGGCGTCGCAGGGGGGCGTGGTTGCGCAGACTTAGGCGTCGACGGATCTTCTGGCCACCCACCATGTCGTAGAGTGGGGATTCGGGCAGCGGCGATTCCGCGGCAATCAGGCATCTCTTGGTATCCGTGTGCGAGGGAAATCCCCGAGGTGTTGTCTGCCCGGCAATGGCCTCGCTAATGTCATGGAGTCGGCCGTGCTGCTTTTGGGCCAAGTGCTCGAAACTGCACTTCCACTGGGCATAGCGTCGATCGGCAATGGTGTAGGTGGATTGCCTCATGGTGGGCGTCAGCAGAGTGCCGCAGGATCCGAACGAGGAGCATCGGGGCATGGGTCGCAGCATTTGCTTGGATCGCTTGCTCAAGCGCTTCTGTTTCCTGGCCGAAATGCTCAGTTTGCGTATGAGGATTTTCTGGATTTTGCTTACAAAACCGGGAAGGGGAGTGCAGAAAATGCCAGGATTTCCGGGGCTAGTTGTGTCCTGGGTGCTCTTAATCTTTTCAGCGGAGTGAGTGCTACCCATCTTGCAAGATGGTTAATTACAATCTTCGGTTTTGGAAAAATTTCAAAATGTTGAACACTCGTATATTGAACTGGGCACACTGAGAAAGTTTAATGTTTATAATATTCTGTGCACTATATTCGTTTGAGTACGATGCTAAGGCTTTAACTGCTGTTGGACAACTGATGCTGATTGCCACGGGGTGGCGGGAATATATATACCCAAAAATGTGGATTAGGTACCTGGACACCCCCTAATAGGGATCAGGTCTTATTCGCTACCCGCGCTACCTTCATAAAACCCTGACCCCTAACCCTGACCATAATCCCCTTGTTTTGCATGCACTTTTATGAGGCAACATTTGGCCACGATTTCGGGGTTTTGCTAGAGTCGCGATTCCGTTTTATTGCCCCTGCAATCTATGCACGTGCAAGGGGGTTTGGGTTGCTGGGTTGCTGAGTTGCTGGGTTGCGCTAAGGGTCAAAATAAAAGGCTAAAAAGGCTGGCCAGCAGGCAGCGGCCATTTAATGGCTTGTCATTTGCTGTCGCCTGCTGCTTTCTGGCCAGGATATCCAACATCCACGAAACATAATTGCCCGCCCATAAGGAGCTGCAGTTCTAGTGGGGAAACTCGGGGGGACGAGGGGGCTCCTCAAGGCTTGACTGTCATCGCAGGAGGAAAATCTTAATGAATTGCAGCAAAGCCATACAAGAAACACAAGGCACTGACGGAAAATATACTAGCAATTTTATCATTTTTCTGATAAACAATTTTAAATATTGCTAAGCTATTATTAGACTTAAGTATTTTATGTATAACTAATATTTATATAATATTATCCTGCAAGCGCACTTTACCTTGTTGTACAATTAGTTAAAATATAGGAATGTATTTATGGTGATCATAAAACTCATAGCTATTGTAGGTACCGATTTCAGTTGAACATTGCATAGCCACCATTGTTGCAAATTAAATAATAAATACTTCTCTAATTAAGATTTTATGAAACAAATTCAGAATACATTTTTACAATTAAATCCGAAGTCTATTTTAACAAAGCTTCTTGACCTTTTAGACTCTATTGTGTGCAAGCCTTGAGCATAATTTCTCTCAGTGCAGTTTGGGGAGGGCAGTGGTGTGTTGGTGGAATCCAGGCCGAGAGGTGGAATAGTCGAGGTTCGAGGTTGGAGGTCCATGGTTAAGCATCCTGGCAGAATGCTCGCTTTGTGTGTCAATCAGCCTTTGCATGCCAGTAGTGCCTTCATCAATTCTCCCTCTATCTTTGCCCTTGTGTGGGTGTGATTGTGCGAAAGTGTGTGTGCGTGCCTGTCAGTGTATAAGTAATTACGTGGGTGAGGACATAAGAAGCTTTGGCTTCATTATAAGTAGACATATGTACAGTGGGCACTGCTGACAAGCCAGTCAGGGAAAATAATTGAGACCAATTAAAACGCACCAAAGCACTAAGAGAAAATAATAATAATAATTATTGGAGAACAAAACATAAAAAACCCATCAGAACGGTGGAGTATCAACATAAAAATTACATTTTAGTGCTGGGCAATTTCGGTTTTTTAATTTGTTTCTAAATGAGAATTCTTTAAAGGCAAAAGCGAAATATCAAGCAATACTTTTTTTAGTTTTTACAAAACTTCAAACTTTGAATATTTAGAATCCACTATTTAAATAAAATTTGTACATTTCTTAAAATCATATTTATTTATTTTTCATTTTATTTTGGTCATATATAACTTTTTTTGTAAAACTAGTTTCTTACATTTTACTTAAGTGCATAAAATCCCCTTCTGGAAAATTTTGCGCAGTTACCCAGAGAACTTGAATTTCCCATTAATTATGTTTGCTGTGGGAATACCCATTGCCCATGAATTCCCGCAGCCTCCACTTATTTTCAGCTTTCGATGCATCCTCTAATTGTGTTAAAATCGCAAAACGCAAAACCCTTTTGGTTTTTGTTCGTTGTTTTACCCTAATAAAAAAGGAGACCAAAAGACGAAGGTCATGGAAGGGGGAGAAAGGGGAGCGCGGCTTGTGGCCAACAGTGTCCATTTTCCGGTTTTCCATTTTTCAGACGAACAAAAAGCAATGCCAGTCAACAACAGAAAATTCATTTGAAAATTCCAGACAGTATGAAAAATAAAAGGGGTTTTATGGAGAGAATAAACGAGGTGGCAATTACTCTACGTTTGAAAAGAAAAATTATTATTTTTAAAAATTGCATTTAAAAAAAATGTAATCTATATATTTCTAAGTTTTATTAGATTACAATTTAAACTAAAATTGTATATAATTTATTTATAAATAATTATCACAACTGTTAGTAGACTTGCGAATATTTTCATGCATTGAGAGTTAAAGTTATTCATTAAATTATTTAATGAAATCATTTAAGAAAATTATTTTGTATTTTTTAAAAAGATTGCAAATTGTAAATTCCTTGCAGGGCATCACTCAGTCAAATTGGAGCTGTGAAAACCAATTCCCTGTATTCCGAATGGATGCAGAAAGCTATTCATTGTCAACTGCAGCTAGAATAGAAATCAACGGGGGTCAGGTGAACTGCTGTTTGCGGCTTTTGGAGTACCAAGTGCCCCCTGACAGGAAGCAGCTTTCATCCAAATTCCAGGAAAGCGGCAAAGCTCCCTTCCATTCGACTCCACTCTGCTGGTACAGAAAATTCCACTTAATTGCAGTCATTTGTTAAATGCCAAATAAGAAGGAAAACAAATAATCATTGCAGCATATATGGTTTTATCATTGACAGCAAATATGTGCGCATATTTGAATAACTGCCGCCACAGTTCGTTTAATTGCACATTTTGTGGCTGGCAATTAATTAGTGTTTCCTTCCCATCACTTAATAATTATGTTTTAAATGTTTTATTGATTCGCATTCGCAGTGTGTCAATGCCAAAGGCCAATGGGCAATTGAATTTATATTTTTTAATTAAAAACAGCTATCAGAATTGTCACCCTTTTGGGTTTTCCACGGCTCACGCAATTCAATTCAATTCAATTCAATTCTTACCTGGCACCATTTTGAAATGGCTTTTACGACCTGACCAACATGTCTGCATATCATAAAACGAGGCAAAATACAAAAATAAGTAAATGGAAAAAAATGGCAAATGGCATAAAAATCGCTTTTTGTTTAACCCTTTTAGAGGCATAAAAAATGCATCTGGGAATATTCCTCCAAAACCCCGTCTATTTTCTCTTTGTCTCTTTTTGTCCGACGTGTATTCCCTATATGCAAATCAACCTTTTCCATTTTTTTTTGCTTTGGCAATGCACATTCCAAAGGACAAAGGCTTTTTGTCCTGCAAATATTTTCCTCTATGTCACGCGTGGAGGTGTCATCGAATTCCCTGGTGATGGAGGAGAAATGCTTGAAAAGAGGGTTGGGCGAAATAGAAAATGCCCATAAAGGTTGGTCCCCTAGCTGACAAAGCGAGTTTGCCCAAAGTTTGGCATTCGAAATAAAGATAAAGAAGCGCAAATCAAAGTTCAACTTTCTCCAGTTTTTCAAGTTTTTGGGCGTTTATCTATTTTATAAGAATAAAAGTATTGGTAAAATTGTAAAAGGTTTGCCCTTCAAATTTGATTTATTTTATATATTTGTTATAGAAACTTTGTTATTCATTATTGTTTATACAAATAATAAATACCTGTTAGTAAGTATAATCATGTGCAAAGATATTGAGGGCAGTTATAATTAGCTTATTTATTACCTCAGTTTTAATTAATTTTACAAACTTTGCCGATCTCTAGCATCTATATAACGAAACCTATCCTTATAACATGTATTTGAAGGATGAAGAACGTCCAATTTGTAGTAAAATAAGCTTTCCAAGTAAAATAGGAAAAAAATGCTGCCAGAAAATTAAAGTTTTTTCTTTGGAGAATTTGGTCGATTTGTATTTGTAAGCCAGTGTAATCCATCCCCGAATTCGGTTAGTTGCAACCCTTTTAAAGTGACCAAGCTAAATACGGCGTCACCGCATCCAAGCTCCTTAGCCGGCCACAAAATCAATCTTATTCGATCACCCCTGGCCCCCTGAGTAGATTACAAAGTTTACACAAGCCAAGAAGTGTAAGCCAAAGTTAATAACACTTATATACTCAATCACCCACACACTCTGGGCAGAACGCCATCATCCAGTTAACTTTGTCTTCTGTAATTTAGTGGGCCACTGACAGGCATTTGGGGTGACCACAAATCTCAGAATTGCGGAACGCGGAAGAGAGAAAAAGTGTACAGAGTCAAAAGGATAAGGGCAAGGACAATGTGCGTGAGGGTTAAGGACAAATCAGGCATCAATAGCAATCAATCAATTTGCGGGCAAACAAACAAATTGACCAAAAAAGAATGCGAGCCATCCAAACACAGTCACTGACAAAAGTTAACAGCATCTAATGTGATTTTGACACACTCCCCACATGAACTTTCAGTGAAGGAAGGGAATGTTTTGACAGTCTATTGTTTACAATTTGTGCGATGGCCGCCTAATTTCCGACCCGATATGATTTTCCCCATCAGCTGTTCAAAAACTTTTCTTCCCTGTAAAAAAAAAAGGTTTAAAAAGAAACAGATTTTAAAAAATTCATGGCTATATCAAAAGCTTACGTTCTGACTGTGATCTATGGGGACAATTAAATATAAATAGAATTTAAATTATATTTAATTTTTTACGAAGGTCTCTGAGCATTTGCAAAATGAATATCTATTAATATTTTAAACAAAAAACTATAATTTAAATGTTTAAATTTGTCTGTAATAAACAACACCTCCTTTAACTTTTAATAGGTATCGCCCTGGTTGCCTCCCAAATGTCAACAAAATTTCCCTCACTTTTCATAATTGGGTTTGTTTAAGCACAAAAATAAAAAGGGAAACGGAAAAGGTTTTTTTTTTGTTTACTTTACTTGGTTTTCAATTTCGATGGTGGCAATCCGGCTGCCAGCTCCAATCAGGGGAACTATCCATCAGTGAGCGATGGCCGTGTCCATTTCCCCAATCCCCATGATTCTCTAGAGGAGTTTTGATGCTGGCACGCATCGAATTCCCTGCTCCTGTTCCCAATCCTCCCTTGAGTTTCGTTTGCACAAGAACACACACACGCACACACACACACACACATGGGGAAAATCAATAACAAAATTTAGTGGGTTAAATTTCGACTTTCCCCTTGGAATACCCTCAAATTAAATTCAAATACCCTAAATAAATAAACGTAAAATATTTTATGATTAGTGTTATTATTGATACCAATTTTTTAAGTTACTTACATTTTATATGGTAAACGAAAATATTTATGCTGCTCAAATGTAGGCAATGCATAATTTTGAATCTTTCAACTAAAAGGAAAATTTATGTGAAGCATTGCATACTTCTGGGCATGCCACAAATGAGGTCCTTAAAACTCTCCTTAATGGTAAATTTACCTGAAAACGAACTGTATATTTAATTATTGCATACTTTTGAGGATGCCACATTTAAGGTCTTTTTTATTTCTATATGTTTTAAGGAAGCAAATAAATATGTCTATACGGAAAATAAATAATGAACAAATCTTAATGGTGAATAAATATCTATTTTTATTAGGCAACATTTGAAGTGTTTTACTAGAACTTAGCAAGCTGTTTAGTCAAATTTTGGTCATAATAAATTATTGAATGTTTTGAAAATTAAAACACCCCGTGACAAAGGGAATCCTGGGCCTAAAAAAGGCGCTCCGAATGTGACAGTCTCAACGAATAGGACGGTCCATAAATTCATCAGCATCTCTAAATGGCTTAAATGTGGCTTAGTTGGTCACAGCTGTTGGCTGAATGGCTGGCTGGCAATAAAACCGCAAGATGTCCTAATCCCACCGATGGATTTACAAGGTTTTAACCACGCCTACCGCCCACCGCCCACTCTCCACCTCCCCCTGCATGGAATCTCTAATCTGGCCACTTGATCCCCGTACGCAGTACGCCATAGGGCAACATTTTTGAGGTATAGTATATGATATGGTATAGTATATCTGCGCAGATCCGCGTTAATCTTCGGCAAGATTTCACACCGCAGAGCACGCGACATTCGGCGGAGGGTTCGTGAGGGGAGGGGTTAAGGGGCCGACGATTAGGCAAATCTTCTACAGGATTTCAATTCCATGGATTCAATGGCTATTCAATGGTCTAGCAACACGCAACGCGAGCAATTCTCAATTGTGGCCAGATTGTAATTAGAGCGGATTCGCAATTCTCACCGGCTTAGCAAAAGGGGCTTAAAGATCCGAAATCTGGGCCATCGGATCCTGCCAAAGGACCAAAAGGACCAGCCACTTGAGTTCGCTCCTGTTCAGCCTCGCGCCTTTTGTTTTTGCCGGGCTACTTTGCTTTGTCCGCCACTCGAGGCTCAAGTGTCGCGTTGGAGTCACCCAAACACTTGCGGCTGTCAAACGGCAGCAAAGTCCCTTGGCTTCGTCCGCACCTCGTCCTTGTCTCGTCCTTAGCCCTATCCCATCTCTATCCTTTTCCTAACAGACACGGAGCGAAAATTAGTGGGGCTTATATCCGCTGTCTCTGATATTTCCCGATTTTATCAATCGAAATTCAATCAAATACGATGATTAACAGTTTACTGTTTTATACATCTAGGTATACTTAACTCTATCTTTTGACTTACAAAATATATTTCAAAATCAAAGAACACAAAACGTGGTTATTCAAATTTGTTGGTATTTTATTCATATAAAATAAAAATATTAATAATAACATAAAGTATTGTTTTCATACCTTAACTTTTTTAAATGTATTAACCATATGACTCACGAAACTAACCTGATTAAATAAACGTTTTTGTAAAAAGTTTTTCAGAAATAATGAAACTATTAGAAGTTTGAGTGCACACAGGGAGGGAGCTAATATTGTCTTATTTTTGTTGTGTGTTAGTATAGTGCCTCTTAAATTATGCATTGCCTTGTCCGGCCCTGAATAGTTTGATTTAACCAGTGGTCTTTGGCGCCCTTTTCTCCGCAAGGCCCGCACTTGGTTGCATGCTAACAGTTTGACACTTTAAAGTTAGTGGCAAGAGTTGAGAAGTTCAGGGGAATCGCCAGGAATTGTGCCAGGTCCCAGGGTCGATGTCAGCCTGCATATTGCATGGACTTGAGGCCAGACAAAGGATATGTCCGTTTTAATTGGTGGAAAAGGTGACCGCAAATGCTCAGCTACAAAGGTTTTATTTCCTTTTATTTCCTCACTTGGCTGACTTCGCATTTTCTGCTACTTTAAACTTTATTTTTAAATTACCAAATAGCTATTATAATATCGCATTGGAATAAATGGCTTATTTAAAATTTCTTTTTAATTAACTGAATTTTCTTCAACCATATCTCTTCAATGTTTTCTATGATTAAATCGCATTAAATTGTAACTCATATCTTGGCAAAATATTATATATTTTTTTCAATTCTCCACACAATGGAGTGGAATTCTCATCTTTATATGATTTCCTTGCTTTTTCTTTGCGCATAAATTTCCTATAAAATAGCGCCATTTACTATTTATTATTCTGCCAGATGGGCGGAGTGAAAGAGATGGGGAAAGGGAGCCCCTTGGGCAAGGCTCGCCTTTTTTTTTTTTGTTGGCTCCACTTGTTCTTTATGGCAGCCAACAGGCCAAACGAAAAAAAAAACTTAATAATTCTACATCATTTTTATGTGCAGCACATGAAAGTCAGCCGGCGAAAAGTTCTCTGCATTAAGGAACGAAATTTTCTGACACTTCAACGCTTTATTATGGCTTTAATGTTAGCCTTAACCCTGCCCTTTATTTTCGACCTGCACAATTTCCCCCATTTCCATATGTTGTCCTTGGTAAAAAGTTTTATAGTGTGTGGAAAAGTTTTGCAATAACCAACATGGCACTTGTTGGCCCACCCTTTTCACCTCGCAATTAGGTGCACCACTCTCGCGCTGTCCCCCTTACCCAGCGATATTCCCCTCTCTTTCGCCTGTCATATACCCCTCCCTGTCGCTGGCTTAATTATCCAGTGCATAGTGGTCGAAGCCATTGATTGATTGAATGATTGACTGATTGCTGGAACAATTGAGAGTCCGCACCAATTATGGCAACTCACCGATGCAAGCTCAACTACTTGGTGGTAGCCCAGCACGCCATCTCTTTCACCCGCTCCCCCACTCCACTGAAGTGCCGTCTCCCTCTATTGTCCAGGAGCCCAAGGAGCGGGAAAAATGTCAGGAAAATGTGAGGACTTCGGACTTCGGACCTCGGACATCGGACTTCAGGTGCGACGAATAGGGAAATGGAGAATGGGGAGCCTTAAGTGGGCAGACAGACACTTGACAAGCCACTAGAATCAATACTGCCGACCCATACCCTGTAAACAAGGTAGGGTAAGCAGCCTTAGGGCAGTCAATAGGAAATATTTAATCGACAAACAAAAAAATTTTGTATAATATAAAAATATTGCAATTTTTATTCTTGAACAACTAGACTGTTTTAATTTCCTTAAAATATTACAACACATATTTGAAATGAAGTTCCTATAATTCTGATTGTAATTTGCAATATATATTAGAATAAAACCTTTAAATCCCAGCTTGTTAAAGGGTATTTTGTATAACAAAATGAGTCGAGTTAAAACAATGTTTGCCCTGTTGTTTTGCCGCACTTAATATATATGCAAACAGTCCAATATTTTCAAAGCCAAAATCCATATTCCATATTTGCTTATCGGTTGGCTTCTAATTATATTTCCATTTTGATTTCGATTGCCTCCAGCTGGCCTGCACTAATTAATGCACATTTATCCTCGAAATTACGGGCAGCATGTTGTTAATACTTTTCACCGATTTGAATATGGATTGAGCCCCCCAAACTCCAGCTTTTTGCCATTCTGCGGACAGCCTTCGCTGCGGTTTGCGGCGGCTATTTAATTTCGAATTTTCAAAGCCCAATTAAAACATTTTGTGGCCAGCAATCAGTTAATGGGCTGGGCTGAAAATTTGCGAAATTATCGAAGAAACTTTGAAGAAGGGTTTTGATTTGGGGACTGTAAATATGATGAGCAACATTGCTGTTAATTATTAGGTTTTAAGAGTAAACATGTTTTAAAACAACAAGTAAGTTGATTTAGATTTTAATGATGCATAAGATATAGATCTATTATTACGTATACCTTTATTTAAATGCACTTTCATTGTCATTTTCAGGAAATAGCTTATTAGCTTATTAAATTTAAATTTCCGTGGCTTTAGTTTACATATTGATTGAAAAGATGAAAAACATCACTGGCTCAGCCAATTTTCCAGCTGAAAAGCAAATTGTCTGGGCCGTAAGACCAAATACCAATGCCAAATAACCCATGACCTTTGACCCGCTGCTAATAAGTGAAAAACCAATAGTTTAGAGTTTACACAATATAATTACGAGTATAATTTGATTATCCAACCATGTACACATTGTTGATTGTCCTTTTCTTAAGTCTAAGTTGTATGATATACAAGGAAAAAAAAATATAAGATATTTTTGTAAAATCGTCTATACGATTTACCATTGCTGGGCAATGGAATCGCTGTGATTGTTTGTCCAAACTGTTTGACAGCTGGCACACCTGTTGCCAGTCCTCGCCGGGGATGATGGAATTGATAGGGTCCAAACCAATCGCTAGAAACCCCTCCGAACCAAGCGGAGTTGGTGCGATTGGTGCGATTACTACTTCCTGATTTGCACACTTACAGATCTGTGGAGATGGTGTGCGTGTGCCCAGCCAGCAGCTGGTAGGTGGTGTACATTGGCTCCTCCTCGATGTCCACCTTGAACCGCTTGGCCGCACTCTCCATTTCCTCCAGATCGCTGTACCCCGGAAAGCCAGTGGGGCAAAAGTGGCCAGCAATGGCCTCCGGAATGTGGGTGACATTGTGCAGCATGTGGGCTGGTGTGGATTGCAGGTAGGTCCGCCACTTTTGATAGGACGAGGCCGGAACGGGGCCATTGCCACGCCGCTGGCTGATGGGCGACGAGGTCTTGGGCATTATGTGCTGCGCCTGCTGCATCATGTACATCTCCCACTCCAGGTTGCCCACTGTTCGATGGGATTCAATCGAATTTCGGGATTCCTCGCTCATGTCCTGGGTGCGCATCAGCACCTCCCCATCACCATCACCATCCCCCTTCTCCTCCTCCTCATCCAGATCCTCAGGATCCCGACGAGGTGAGGAATTGGCACTGCTGCAGGTGTAATAGCCACAGGATCGGTCCAGTTGTGGTTGCTCGGCAAAATCATCGCAAATTGGCTGACTGGAGCGGCTCCAAATGCTGCGGCTGGAGTTTTTCGAGGACGATGATGAGCTGCTGCCCACGCCGCTGCTGTTCCGACTGCTATATAGTCGCTTCAGGGAGCGACCACTTCCAGATCCTCCGCCAGCGGCCATGTAAATGCTGCTGTTCAGGCTCAGCTCCTTGAGTTTCAGACTGCTCGCACAACAACCCATGATCTTTAGGTTTTAGTGTGTATAAATGTGTGATAAAGCGACGCTGGTAAGATGTTCTTCCGTTGACAATTCGTGGTCGACTGTTTGGCTTGGCCATAAACCCAGGGGCTTTATATGTGGCCAGCAGGTAGCTTCAATCGCTGGAGTTCCAGGAATCAATAGTCAGCTACCTGATAGTTTTTCAAAAAATTTTTCTGGCCTAATCCGCGAGCGGGATTTCATGAAAACACGCGGTACTTTATGGCCCGGCAATTTGGCCAAAAACACGGCGAGTAAATGTACCTGAAATCCTCCCGTAACGACCTTGATTCGAGCACTTTCGATCTGGCCAACGAGTTAAGGATATAACATATACATATATGTATATATGTGTACTCCTTGCTCACTTAATTTTTAAATATTATATTCTAGGCATAACCCTTTTGGGTTTTTATCTGCCTTTTTATAGAGCTATGAGTTATGACTAAAAATATATGCATGTATATTGCCGAAGTGCTGACATCATGTCGTTTTGGTCGGTGCTGTCCTTGGGCCATTGTATTGGCCACATCCTTCGTCCTTCCTTTGGCCAATTGTTGTGTAAACGCCGTGGCGCAGTCCTCGGAACGCCGTTGACGCCGGCCACAAGTCTCGAATCAGCGGGACAGGACCTTTTTCTGCCCGAATCAAAAACCATAGACCAGAGTCCACGAAAACCACGCAGCTGCACCGACTTCGATCTATTTTTCAGCGAAACTCCTCAATGGAACAGCTCTCCCATTCTTGAACTCAATGGCCCAAGGCCAAACGAAATCGAATGCTAAATCGGCATCGATATCGTCATGCAAATGGAAAACGACATTGGGAAAATGCGGAATGGAAATTGGTAAATGATTTCGCGCGCGAATGGCAATCGAAGTGGGGCATAAGTGATGACAAGTGCACCCGAGCGAGTGTCACGTGATTAATTGCAGAAAATCGCCAATATTTTAATTTGCCTTTCACGAAAAAAAGAAAAATGCATTGAGATGTGTGAAGCATTCCCTCAATAAAGTACGTCAATTCTATGACTCAAAATGGGTATTCAGTTAATGCAACTGTTTCTCAAAACTATTTTTCTTTTTTTTGTTTCTTTGAAGTATAATTTTAATATGGTTTCCATAATTTTTTTATTTTGTATTTATTGCCCAAATACCAAATAAGCATAAATGTATTATTTAACAGTGAAATTCCTTTTGAAATCATTTCCTTTAATAGAATCCGTAAAACATTGCAATTATTAAAGGTTACCTAATATTTCAATATGGTTTCCATAGTTTATTTTTATTTTCCTATTTATTGCCCAAATGTTTTTCCTACAACTTTGTATAAATTTGTATAGTTACCAGTTGTTAACTTTGTTATCTAGCACTATGCACATTTCAGTCCGCCTGCTTTAAAGACTGTGAAAAATACTTAGGATCTGGATGCCTTATCTACGGTCGTGTGCCCCTATAATATATCCCAAAAACGGATTGCAACTGCAGTGGCACGTGATAATCGCTGCCTCCGTTGGGGTCCAAATGCATATGAATACCCATGCATACCCACTTTCTTGCCAAACTCCGGGTTCTCCTTTCGGTTTTACGGGGAACTAACTTGGCTTTTGTTGCTGACCAACTGGCCAACTGGTCAACCTCAGGCCTCATTTGACTATCGCACATTTGGTGTTTGCTGTTTTCGTTTCTCGTTGCATTTTCACACGCAATCCACGAAAATTCCCGCATTTTTTGGTCTGGGAAAACGCGCAGCGGAATTTCCTCGCCCTTCATATATATTTGCTTTGGCTGGAGTTTCCCGCTCTCCTGCCATCTCGCTTGCTCTCGTTCCGTTTGTTAAGCACAGTTTGATACGTTTATGCATTTGAATATGCATCCAAATTCGCATTCGCATCGTCATCGTCATCCGCATTCGCATCCGCATCCACATCCGCATCCACATCCGCTTGGCAGTCACGTAACTCCGGCATTTGTTGGCTGCACGTGACGGGTCTCCATGTTGGCATCCAAATGCGGAAACGGAAGTCAACGAGCTCCAAGCGACCCTGGGACTTCACTAAGAGCCGTATTTCCATTAAAACTGAAGAGAAAACCTCTTGCTTATGCCAGAAAAAAAAAAAAACAAAAAAAATTATTTAATTTATAAAACTTCTAAGATTGTGAAATTAAATAAATATATTTTGCATTTAATCAGGATACTAAAACATATAAAATATTGATTTTGATTTATTAAATAGTCGATTTAGTCAACTAGTGAAAAACAATTACTTGTAATTTAATCAATTTCGAAATTTGTATTACTTATTTACTTACATAGAAAACGGAAAAAATTGTATATTTGGACTTTTTTCATAGTGTAGGCCATGTGAATTGGTACTACGTTCGATTCAGTTGAGTGACTTAACAGCAATGAGTTGGTGAAGGATATACTGTGTCCTTCGATTGGGTGGGACTTCGATAGGGGAAAATACAAAGTTGTGAAATAGCACGTATGTGGAATGACCCTTGACAATTTGGCTAAGGAAGCTATCTCACGACTTCCTCATTGCTTTGCATACGAAATTTACTCAAGTATCTCACTTTTCGTGCTGTTTTTTCTGTACGCCAATTACAGCTGTGCTTGGAATAACAGTGCCTTTGAATGCAGTTTTGAAGATAAGTTAAATCTAAATGCACTTTTCAATATTTTGTCCGTATATTAATTATTATAATATAAAATCATTTCTTTACTATTCTATTATGTTAAACTTAATGTACTCTTTTACGCCATCTGCCTGTGGCAATAACATGTGAAATTCTGTTGGAACTTGCATACTTCACCTTAATTAACTCACTAAACTTGTGAGAGGTTAACTTAAAACGTTTGCAAGGTCATTTAAATAACACTCAATGCCAGAGGATTTGAGTTAGCCAACAAAGTGCATCAATCGAGTATGCAGTGTTGCAAGCCTTATTTGCGCCAAGGGAGCCATCGCATTGAGGATTCCAACCATTTGGACAGATTCGCAACTTTGTGGCAGAAATCAAAGCAAAGGGCCATGAAAATCCCATGTCCTTTTGTCCCTTCGTCCCTTCGTCCCTATCGCCACCAAGTCCAGGCGAATCCAGTGCGGTTGAGTCCAGTTGACTTGTCATTAAATGCCAGCTGGCTGAATGCAGGGAATTCCGCACGAAGCTCCAAGGAAATGGCCACGAAATTGAAATGCCAGTGACACACAGATTTCGAGAAAAGGGGACAAACTGAACTAGGGGCAAAATCAGGAGACGTGCCAGGGATCCCAAATAGTTGCAATCGAATTGGAACCAGAACTAAAATAAAATTAAAAAGGAACACCGAAAGAATGGCGATCAAATCTAAAATCAAAACAATTAATTGCCAAACAAATTTAAAAAATAAAGCACATCACGTTGATACCTCGAACTCGTTAAATACAGTAAAAATATAAATAAAGTAATTAAAAATCTAGGCTAAATTAAAAAATTATTAAGTGTTGATATCTAAAAAATTTCAACCTGTATTGTTATGCCAACCAAATTTTATTTGATATCAATCAAATTTTTAAAATTTGTATAACATTCATTGAATGCATATATGCGTTACATGTATATAATAATAATAGCACATAGTTTTTTATGAAAAATATTAAAAATATGAGCCTGCAATAAAAACCCATTGACCCCCGTTTTTTCCAGCGTATTCGACGTTGTTGAATGCAACTTTTGGCACAAGTGCAAGCCAAGCAATTGTCTTGGATTCTGGGTTCGATATATTTTTTATTGAGCCAGCTGGCCGAGCAGAAAAAAGGCGAAGAATGAGGGCCAAGACAATGGCAAGGACATGACCGTTTCCAGGACTCTCGCGGTCGCAGTACATCTGTGATCAGGATCATCAATGCAATTTCTGCTTACCATATTCTGTTTTTCCTTTTTTTTTGTGTTGTCACAAACAAACAAAAAAAAAACACAAAAAAAAAACATGAACGGGCGGTGGGAGGGAGGATGGGTGGGATGTGAAATCGGGAAAATGTGAAAGTGGAAATGCGAGTGCGAATGCGAATGAAGGAGGCCGCATTTTGTTTACGAAATGCATTTTCCGTGTATCGGCGGCAACTCCTTGGCCATGGCCATAAAGCCATAAAACGTACCGCGTGCTGAGGTCCAGATCGGTCAGGTAGACAGGTTACATATATAGACATATATATATATTTGTATATACACTTACCTCGTGAGGACACTCGTACCTCGATGATGATGATGATGGCAGCGATGGCAGCGATGGTAGCGCACTTGTTGATCCCGCGACAGGGTCAAGTTAAGTCGCGTACCAGAAATCGCTGGGCGCTCGGAAAGACCCATCAATGTGCCCATGTTGTGGATGGTATTTCCGCATCCTGTGGGAATTTCTCGACGCACTGAGCCGGGGGAAACACACTGACCATTGGACATCCATCCATCCACCGATCGATCCACATGTGGTCCGTGCGCAAATGGGCGAGGCTACTTAGGCTCTAATTTCGACAATCGCCAATCACCTGATGACATCGCAGCTGGATCCTGGATTTGCCCAGGACCAAGACCATTTAGCCAGAGGACCAGGTGTCGCGAGTCCTTGACCACTAGAAGCCTACAAGTTCAAGTCACAAGTGAAGGTGAATCCAGGAAATAAACTGGAATTGCGGAAATGTCGTAAAAGTACAGTCGTAATTTTACAACTAATTTCAAAAAGATATTCAAATTGATAATAGTGCTCAAAGTAAAGATTAACCGAAAATAATATAAAACCAAAACAAAATAGATAGCAGACTACAGCAAGTCGAAGAAGATGTACTCTTTAAGTAATAATACAAATGTAATTCTATCTATATACCGATTTTGCTTGGGTATATCTGAACACAAATAAAGCAAAGTTGATTTTTCAAAACATTTTTTAATAGCAGCTATTTTCATATGGCAGCTATAGTAGTCTTTTGTATTATGAAATTTAAAATTTATTTTAGAAATTCCCGTCTAAAACGACTGCTTTAATGCTTACTTATATTTAAAACGCAGCTATAAATATAAAATATATAGTTTTGATATTTTAAATTTCAAGCCAAAGGGTTTATAAGAAGAAGATGAGTTTAGAACCTTAAAAACAATGATTGCTATTATTTTGTGGTATATACTCTCCAAAATTTTTCCGAATTACTTTTACAGCCTTATCTGTATTTAAGCACAAGTACAAAGATGGATGGAGAGTACACTTTTTGGGGTCGTAAATGAAAGCGGAAGACCCTCCACTAAAGCATCACTTAAGTACAGTTGTGCTGTACTTATGCCGCAATGCTTTTTGCGACTAAAAGTGCCCCCAACAATTAGGCATTCCCCATTTATCGGCCACGCCCCCTCAGTGTCTCGTTTTACGATGACCACTTTACGATATGTTTCATAAAAGTTGACTGTGAAAAAAATACTGTTTTTATATATATTTTGCTACCTCAAACGACATTCCAAAATTTGACTCGTTTTCACCCCATTTATGGTACTCGTCACGTTGGATTGAGTCGAACCCAGTTGAGTTTTTGTCATATGGGTAAGAGGCTTTAGCCGCGGTACACCTGCCACTCCCCCTTCGCCCAGGGCCGCCCCTTTAATTCCGGATTCTCGGGAACTGGCAATCGGAATCGGAAACCCGGGAACTTACAACGTGAGGCAGACATCTTGTGCCCCACATAATAGAAGAAAATCAATAGCATTACCCCTGTTGTAATTGTGTTTGTGTTATGACTGTCGTCCTGCGCCTTCTTACCACACGTTTTTCGCCGTGTATTCCTGACATTGTCTGTCTGTCTGTGTTTTTTTTTTTATTTATGAATTATTGAATGGCTTACAGAGTTTTTGTCCGCTTGATGTTTATTTAAATTTGTAATCCGGTTTTCTTTTGTTGTTTTTTTTTTTGTGCCGCATTTGACAAAGTTTATTGAGGAAAACTTTGACTGCTTTGGTTGCGTTTGCATCTAACAAATTCCACGAACTGTTGAGACAAATAATATTCCTTGGTTAGATTTTGTCACAAGCTGTTAGACTTGGCAGCAGCTGCATGGTAAAGAAAATTAAATCGGCTCAAATATTGTCTACTGCTTTTATACATGACTTTTTGATATATGAGATATTTGATTTAGATTACTAATAGTAATACATGTCAGTATTCCATTGCTTAAAACTTAAAGGCTTTCATTATTTTCCCTACAGATAATGAAATTAACTCATTGCTCATTTTATTCCTTTATTTATGTTTAAAATCTATTTAATTCGTCTTCAGTACAGTAAAATGCTTAAGAAAACATTAATCAATTGAAATGAATTTGAAATCTTTGTTCAACACCTTATTTAAATAATATATATGTTTTTCACTAAACATCCATTTATATATTATACACTAATATATGAATTAAAATTTAATTGATTCCTCTGAAAGATTTAGCTGCTGCTTAATATAATGTGTATAGTGTGTACACAGTGTTAGTTTAATTAAATTCATCTCTCTGTCTGGCTAATTCTGAGCTGTGTGTAAGCAATATATGCAAATAGTGCTTCTCCTACTTTGAAATAATTTCATATTTAATTGTCTCCAGACCCATTGCTCATCTCCGTAACTGAAAACCCCAGTTGGTGAGTCACAAATTGCGCAAAATGTTTTTGTTAATTGCCGGCTGAGTCCTTGTTCGTGCTGCTCATTCTTAAATGTACTCCTGGTCCTTGTGCCTCAGCTACTGATTATTAAAATTGCATTCCGTCGTTCTTGTTGTGGGTTATTTGTTTACTCTAATGAGCATTTAATGGCCAATTCCAAGCTGGTGACACACACACACGCACACACACAGGAAAAGCAAGAGATAACCGAAAAAAAAATCGAGAGAAAATCGGGGAAACTAAGAGGAAGAAGGAAATTTAGATTAGCCTTACCTGCAGCGATTTTCCCTTCCGGTTTTGCACTTTACCCTTTTCCTTTTCTCCTCTCTCCGCCTAATTTGATTTTTATTACACTTTTCTCAGTTCATTACAATGTCTGGTTTTTTGCCTCTCTCTCTCCTGTTCTGTCGCTTTTCATTCATAAATTACGGGGAAATTTGGCATATAGTAAGGTTGCTTTTTCCCCGCACTCTTCGTCGGAAAATCCCCTCCTTTTATGGCACATCCTTTGTACTTATCCCTGTGGGAATTGCGTATAATTTGCGCATGTTAATTAGCTCATTTCGGGCATAGATTTGAGCCCATCGTCGAACACATGTAATTAAGCAAATTAGGCAAATGAAGCAACTAAATAAATAGTTCATGGCTGGACCAGCTCTCTGCTTCCAAGGGTTGGGGAAGGGGAACAGGAGGGGCAGCTGGGCGCTAAACGCTTTCAAGGTCGTTTGCCTAACAGGCTGACTGGCCAATCTAATGACCCATTCCCTTTAATTCATGGCTACATTTTGCTCTCACTGGCTACACTGGAATAGATTATTAAAATTCGAAATTTTAATTTAAATAAGTTATTCTTTGATTGTAATCACTTCTCTGAACACTATGTTATTTTTAAAAACCTCACCTCAATTACCATTGATACTATACCAAAATATCCTTTTTGTTTTAAATAAAAAATTTTGTGAAAATGGGAATGTTTAAAATAAATAAGAATTTTCCATAGATTTCTATAACATTTCTAATCAAACGTTTTTTATTAAAGTATCCAAACCAGTTTCCAAATTAGTATTTTATAAAATATAAAAATATTTATTTTACAGTGTTATCAGCTCTTTGAGGAGGATTTTAGGAGGTGGTTGCAAGCACCACCTGTTCGCAGGCCTTTGTGGTTGTTGTGGTACTTGGTTGGATGGTTTTTGCCATGGGTCTGGTTTTCATTTTCAGCCCTGGCCCTTTCTGACACATTTATCATCGAAACGCACAAACACACGCATCGGCCTCAAGGGTTGCTAACTTTTAATGCACTAAATAACTACAGAAAGTTATTTCGTCAAGGGTGTGAAATGGAGGTAGATGCCCAGACCTTTTCACACCAAACCCCTAGCCACCCACATTTGCATATGTAGTCGCAGCACTTTAGTCAAACTTTCACCGACGTCAGCGTCTGGAAAACTTCATCCTTGACACTCCCACATGAACATTACACCCACAACCACCCACAGCCACCCACAATCACCCCATTCAGACCTTCAAAGCAATCATCTGGGCATAAGCATGGCCATGTACGATCCTTTAAGTGCTGCACGATTGCATAATAGAGGGAGTTTTCAAGTGCAAAACTTGGCATAATTCCTCGGCCATCAAATCTGTTTGCAGAGTGTTTATTGCATTTTCTTTGGGGGCGGTAGGGCATTTCCAAGCACATTTTCCTGACGATGTCCGTCCTTTCGAGCATGGGATAATATTTTCCAAGCTGCCACTTGCCACAAACTCAAGTTGACTTTGAAATGCTTCTCGCTTGTATCAAGTTTTTTTCTAGATTTTCTTTAAAGTTTGTGCATTATAAAATCTGTTTAAAAGGGAATACATTCTATGGGTGTGATGATTGAATTAATAAGGAAATTAGTACAATTAAGTTTAGAACTACACTCGTTTGTTCATATTTTTATTGAGAGTGTAAACGTAAGCATCAATTTATTTTGAGTCGAAAAGTCTGTTGGATTTTTTCGAAAGACCACAACTTTTGAAAACTTTTTAGTGTGGTCGAAATGCCTCAGTGATTTCTGTAGTCACCACCTATATTGCAATTTATTAAATGGTTAATATGAATATATTAAAATCTTAACTTATCTTTATCTAATTTTAGTTGTGCGTTTGGAAGTTTTTGCCGAGGAGGTCACCACTGCAGCCAGTTTGTCGGAAGGTGAGTTGTCCCATGTAATCCCCGATTCTGATTCAATATTCCGCTTTTCGAAACCCCGCAGAATGGGGCTCCGGCTGGCGGGGCACAAATTTCCTAGTGGAGGTCGAACAAACCGCTCCCATATCACCGCCCTCCTCGTCCTCAGCGTCCTCGAATGGCAGCGAGGATTATATTGGGGAACTGGGGAGCCAGGAGGTGGACGATGGATTCACAACAGGTGCCACAACAGGGGCCTCCAATACGACTACCGAAGAGACAGGTGGGTTTAATTATACTCCCTCTATCGAACCTCATTTTTAATTGTCTTTATTACGCTAGTAAAACTGGCATTTTTACTTTTTACATTTTAAGAGTAAAAACATTTCTAGAATAAACGCACAAGAAAATGCAATTTTATGAGGCTAATTTCGCAAATCATTGCTTTAAGTGCGAAATAAATTGCAAAATAAAAGTTTCAGGTAAAAAAAAAACGTATGTCAAACTTTAATTGGTTGACTTTCGTGTGGCTTCCAAACAGTACAAAACTATTTTCTCTACATGTGTAGGAGACTGTTTTTGTCTATACAAATAAACGCTCCGCAAATGCTGGTTAATAATATGTTATTCCCTAAATTAATGTAAATCCTGCCTGATTTGGTAATAACCAATTTCAAATGAGCATAGATTAGGAACGACATGAGTGGGATTAGAGGTGTTTTCACTTTTGGAATAATAATTTTCCAAGGGTATGCCACACATGTAGCCGTATCCTTTGGATACATTTTCCTTTTGCAAATATTGAATTTTCCTTGCACTCGCGTAACTTCACCACCTGGAAACAAAATCCCTTGGCTGGATTTGACGGGCTAAAGTCGCTGATTCGGTTGCTTAATAAATCCCAATGCCAAATCCCACTGCCATTTGTTTATCGCGGAGATTTCACATCGACGATAATTGAATTCGAGCCTGACTCTTGAGTTATTTACGTGCGGCACGTGCGACCAGTTTACAATCCAAACAAATCCATAATATTTATGGCGAAAAGGAACATTCGATTGCATACATTGAAAATAAATAAACAAATGGCATTTGCGCGTAATCTTGCAGGACCCAAGATCATCGTTCGCACCGAAGAGGTCCTGATTGTGGGCCTGGTCCTGGTCCTCTGGGTGGGCGCCATCATGCTCTTCTTTAACCGATGGGGCAAGATCCGGATGCTGGAGCCATATCAGCCCAAGTTCCAGCAGCAGCACCGCAGCTCCTGTCCACTGGTCGACCTGGATGCAGTCACTACTCACCAGGTAAGATCCATCTTTGTAAATAGTTCAGCTTTTCAACCTACGTAGATATATTATATGAAATTTATTTGAATTTAATTTGTACCTGGCAAGAAAAGTTTGGCAACTTATATATTATTATGCTTATCAGTTTAAAAACCTATAATTTAACAGTTATTATAATTTAAAAGGTATAGTCATTATTCATTCATTATTTTGTATCAAGAATTCCCTTCACTTCTTAACAGGACAAAGTTATTTTTTTGCTGTTGTATATTTTTAGATTTTTCAATTACAAAGCCCTATGAATTTTTTGAGATCACTATAAAATGGCATATATTTTTAATATTTATTTGTAACAAAAGAAGAAGTGTATAAATTTATTGCTACAGCTTTGACCTGCAGTCTTCTTTTACCCATTCGAATTTTATTTTATTTTGAGTAGTTGTGAATTAACTTAAGCTATATATAGTAAATGCATCGCTTGATATACATATTTTTTTTTTTTTTGTAGCGCTCCTCCGTGTCGCGAATGTCGATGGGTATGGTACACAATCTCAATATGCCGACGTGTCAATTTGCGGCCTATAATCCCAACATGTATGCCAAGGGTATGTACGCCATTCGTGTGTCCTTTTATACGCCCCCTTTTATTTTTTTCCTCCCCTTACCACCCATCCCCAATCACCCATCAAACCGAACTGAATGCAATTAAATTCGAACATCCATCGAGCTCAAAGTATTCGAAACTTGTGCTGCATACTTTAGTGCGTCGCCAAGAGCGACACAGTGACTCAAAATATATTAAAAATTTTAGGAATAGATTATACGTTTCACAAGTTTTACATGATAATAGATTTAAGTGTACATTAGTTAAAATTTAAGTCTAATTTATAAATTGGTTTTCTTAACAAAATGGCGCACCACAGTTTTCTTACCTTTTTTTTATTAATATTAACTAGTTTTATTTTTGAATACTTATTTTTAATATTAAAGATAAAACAATTTGTTGAAGTGCCGCATTTTTTTTTTATTTTATTTATTATATACAACGCATATTGAAGGCACTATTCACCAAGTACAATTTTTGGAAAATTAACACGAAAATTAATAATTGTTTTAGACAAACAGACTTAAATCAAACTATGCTAATAAAAGTTATAATTTTACAAAGAATTAAATTAAAATGACTATGAATGATAGTTTTATAAGATAGTTTTGTCTGCTTGTTGATATAAAAAGGATTTTTGCTAGCTCTAATTCAATTTAAATTTATTCATGTTCTTGTGATACAGCTGAGACACGCTTGAATTTAATGAACTGGTTAACATATGCAGACATCTGTTCTCATTGCCAATCCCTTGCAGCTTAATAGTAATCCCTCCTATTTAAACGACCCCCATGTTCCTGCAAAGTCGATGCGAATCGAAATACTTATGCGTAATGTGCGCTATTTGAAGCGTTCGTTAACGCCGCCGTCCCTCCCACTGCCACGCCCCCAATGAAGCTGGTAAATACAGCATTTAGTTGTAGTCACTTTGCCGCCCCGTATCCCGAACCCAGGACTTTTTTTTAATGATTTGCCAGACAATTAAGTTGCTCGCGGAGTAAAGACAGCGAAGCAAATAACAGTACATTTTAAATGCCCCTGCTGGTTGGTGGGGGGTTCCTCTTAGATTTTTTGCGCTCCACATCCACATCCCCTCCAGAGTTACGCAATTAAATCTCGAGGAAACCCAACGAACACATGGACAGGAAGAAAAGAGGAGTAAGATGCATGTTTTATGTGCAAGAGCAGATTTAAATCTTTAAATTGATAACAAATTTTTTTAAATACAAAAAAATTCAAAATAGATAGGGGTTCAATAAAAAGGAAATAAATCTAAGTAATATATCTATCACTATAACGTTTGGCTTACATTTGTTAGAAGAAAAGGAATATACAAAAAAACGTACATTAGAAAATTAAAGGCAATAGTTCAATGTTAAGATAAAATAAATTAAACGAAAATTGTACTTTTTTTTGGCTCTGCTGGGGAATGCAGATAGAGCTGATGATAATGTGGGTAAATCTGCAGAGGGCAAGGCGGTGCGAATGCTGAGTTGAGGCCTCCGTTCCGCAGCGGAAAGTCTATTAAGTTGAGTCAGGACAACGACGCAGAGGGGTTTCCCCAATCGCTGAAAGCAAAAAGCAAAGCGGAGCACGTGACACGAAGTGTAAAGCATGTTCGATGCTGACCTAAAAATTAAAAATTTATACTAACAACGGCATCGGGAATTTAAAAGCATTTTACTAACCACATGCTGTTCATCAATTTGGCGCTTGGGTAATGAAACACATATATTGAACAGCAATTAAAACTAATTTAAACCAAACATGTTGACTACGAGATATGAAATTGATTTATTTTATTTATTCGAAGTTCTATGATAAATTATAGCTTATGGTTACAAAAAAAGGTCAAAAAGTAATTGTTTTGAAATATGTTTATATTTCATTTGTTTTTAAATATGTGCAACATTTTTTTTTGTAAGTATACATATTATAAAATATTTTTATATGGGAATAAAAACAACAATACTTTAAAAGATATATAAGAGTAGAAATAATATATTTAGAATTAGAAAGTCCGTTTGATTAATTCCACAAGACGATGTTTTTCTTTTTATTGCACACTTTAATTTACCTTTAAAGTAACCTAGGATTTAATTTCATATAAATTTAGATTAAGTATTAATTTAGGTATGACAAAATCACTGTCCGCTTTAATAACTTACCATACATTTCACGCACCCATCACCAAAACATTTCGACTCGCCTCAGCAAATCCACGGGTTGACATTCATGCCCTCCTGATTGCTACGCCACCAGGAGCAAATGTGTGACCCCCGGCCACTAATTTATCCCGAAACTGAACCATTATCCATTAATTCGTGTGTATGTGTGTGTGTTTTCCAGGCTACGCCTCGCATGTGTCGGCGTCGCGTCCGCGCCAGAATTCGGTGTTTGTGGGGGCCAGTACCAGTCACTACCTGATGCCGCGGCCCCCGAGGAAGACCCGCTCGGCGATGGACCTGCACTCGATGGTTCTGGACGAGAGTGCCGAGCAGGTGTAGGATTGCGTGGCGAAATGGAAGCCCTTCGGCTGAGGATCCATGGGAGAGAGTGCTAAGTCAGTTCGTAAGTCAGTGGAGTGTGTGAAGTGCGAGTGTGTGGTCCGTTTTTCAAACTAAATGTATTTCAGAAACATATATATTTCTGAATTTATAAAGCAGTTCAATTAAATAAAGAGTCCGGTGTCTAAAAGTATGCAATACAATATTTTCTGTATTTGGTGTGTTTGTAGAATAGAATGTTGTTGACAACTTAGCATACTTTTGGACGACCGCGCTGACGTTTTTAAGACCAGAACGATTTTCAAAACATCAAGGCTTTAAGAAATACAAGGAATTTTGTTACCACAATTTTCCATGATAAGTTTAAGGTTTATTAACCTACTTTTATTTTCAAAAACCGAAGAAAAATTGAATTATGTAAAAGTAAAGATATGGTTTTCATTTTAATTTGAGCAGGGATCGATGGAGACGGAATAGCACTGTCCAATAATTGCAACAATATCTGTACTTACCACTCACAACTAACTCTATGACATTTCCTTACTATCTCTGTCGCACATATTTATTTCTGTGCTGGCACAGAGTCAATTTGAGTCAATTTTTTATTTAGGACCAGTTAACTGCTGTGAAGTGCACAGTTCACACACGAAGTTATCAGCTAAACATACCGAAAATATGTAGAAATATCTATCTTAGAGTATTCTTAGCCCTATCCAGTGTTACTCAATGTAGTCTATGCCTAACCTCCTTTTTCCTTCTTCACAACATTGGATGACAGAGCTAATTGTTAAACAAACAAATGTATACACTTAAAGTAAATAATTATATCCGCGAAACTGTTTAGTTCGTAAGCCCAAAGCTCAAAAATCAATCAGCATACAACTTGAAACTTGACCAAACTTCCCGTAATAATATGTTTTCCCAGCACCTCTGTATTGCACTTTAAAATGTATCTTAACTTAAGTAATTTCGACCAACCAACAAAAAAAAAACTGGAAAAGTATGCAAATGATGGAGCGAAAAACGAGGATAGGGGATTAAAAACGAGGTGGAAAATGAACAACTAACTAACGAAAGCTTTAAATTCCTTGGGTCTCCTGGGGGACCTGTAAACCAAAAACCCATCCAGTTCGAAGTAAACTAAACCAAAGCTGAGAATTATACTTTAGGCCTAAGAAAACTACAGATTACAGAGTAAGTCACTAACAAAAAGTCTAGTGGGAAATATGTGGATCAATGTACACTATACCTATAACTACAACTTAAAATATAACCTCAACTTAACGATAACTCACCCAGTCAGACACTTTTTCCTCACAACTCAGAAAACCAAAAAACAAAAAACGAAATTGTTGAATATTAATGATTAATTAACTTGTTTACAATATTTACAAGGGCCTGAGCAAAACCAATTATATATACACATGTGTACTATATCAAAAACTAAACTATGTATACATTAAATATATATACATGTATAAAAATATTATATAAACATTTTGATGAATTCGATTAAAAATTATATTTGAAGCAAACCGTATGTGTTTATTTGGGGCTTTCAAAAATAATATATATATATATATAAAGTTTAAGGATTGATCCTTTGGGATTGACTTATTTAAAAGGTTCAATTGAGTTATGACCAATTCAAAGGGCAGATGTTCATCGTAATGTTTCGGCTAAAGTGTTTATGGTGTATGGGCGTGCAATAAAGTATAAAGCTATTTGCTTTCGACTCCCACCAAATCGCATTTTTCGGATCGGGGGTAAATTGGTGTCGCCCCACGCTGAGACCCCATAAACGGGCAACATTTCACAGATGTCGTCCGACTTTGGGCGGTTCGATTGGTTTTCCTCGGTTTTCGGCGGTATTGGAACTTTGTGGTGGGTAAGGGGATGTGAGGGGGCTTTTGACCATAAACACATTTGACAAGACGGACAGAAACAGGCGCGTAAATGGACATGGGGCGGCAAAGGGGCGTGGTGGTGGCACCAATAAACGGAAGCCATTCCATGTCTGGCCATCTCGACCATTTTGGCCATCTCGACCATTTTGGCCATCTCGACCATCTCGGCCATCGGGTTCAAGTGCAGGCAATTTATGATGTCATTAGAGCTGCCTTTTCAAGGGCTAGGAAATTACAAAATAATATCAGTCTATCGTTGTAAGCTAATACTATGATTTAAACTGACAAAATTCATGGAATATTTTTATATACCTATTATTTTTTTTAGATTTTATTTTACACTTGGGGTAATAATAAATATGCTTCTTTCATTTTTATGAAGACAATTGTGACAGCACTGGGTAACACTGTTGATGCAGCGAAGAGAATGAGGAGAAGAACGACTTTGTCGCCGCCGCAGGCCACAAATCAAATGACACCCCTCCTTTACTCCGCCCCTGAAGCTGCAGCTTGCCAGAAAACCAATTGACACATTTTGGGAGGGGTCTTGAAGATTGTGGTGTAGCCTTACTACTGGTATATAGAGATCTCAAAACCAGTTGAATTGACCCCTAAACCAGCAAGTTTTTTATTGAGCTGCTACAATGAAAAATTGGACAAGATATAGCCTCTTAACCAAGCTTAAAATGTAATTTTATTTTTACTCGTTTTTTCCTTTTTATAGGTTTTAAATACCCCTAACTAAGACCAGATGGCTTGTACGTTTTAATATATTATCTCAAGCTTAATTCGAACTTTATAATAGCAAATGTAAGAACAAAATCGCAAAGAATAAGTTTTCCCTTTGAATAATGCAAATCAATTGAAGGTTATTATCATATAAAATTATGAATATCATAAAACATCCTGAAAAGCATAAACGTGTCAAGAAATTGCTTATTTAACAAGAATTTTAGCGCAGTCAGCTCATGGAATTCCTAAAAACACTGCCACCCCAAAAAAACTGTCATGAACATTGTTACCAACACTCGTAATTTGGCCAAAATTATGGGCGTTCAGCTAAAACGTTAACGTAAGCCATAGTCGACAAAACGTTTAACAATGATAATGGCGATGGCGATGGGAATCTGCATGACAATGTGAATTAATTTCAGCCACACGACCATATCCAATTTGGGTATCCCATTTGGGCACAGGACATTGGCTGCCTGCACTATGGCAATATGGACATGCAAATCCTGGCCAATTCTGTGGCAGCGTGTCAAAGATTGATTGACATGACCGTGGAGGCTGCGTAAAAATTGAGCACAAGTGGTTAATCAAAAGCGCTTAGCAATAGGTTTTCTAGGGGGTGCTTTTCGATTTATTAACTTGTGGGTCAGACCGCACTTATGGTAATTGCATTTGGTATTTGGGGACATGGACAAGCAAGTGAGCAATAGGAACATAAACTATAGAAGAAATTGTATTTTACCATAATAAAGATTGTGTTTTTTGCAGACAGTCAAAAAACGGAAAAAGCACAACAAAAACTTTGTGTTTCAGTCAACCGTTGTAAACTCATCATAAAATTTCTAATCGAATGGCATTCACAGCTAAATATTTAATGTTTCATTAGGTTGTAAATCTAGAAAGAAATCTCCAAATAAATTTTACAAAAAAACAAAATCGGTTTCTGTACCAAATAAAAATTTAATTATCTTAATCGATTTGGGATAGGTAGGTTAGGTTGCCAGCTGCTCAAATCGGTAATTTTTATGGATGTGCGTTATATTTTGGCCAAGTTACAACAAAAGGACTTTCTGGAAACGTTTTATTTTCTTATTTCTCAAAAAACCGAAAAATATCGTTTAAAAACCAGTTTTTTAATAAAGAAAAACCTGGAAAACAATAGTCGGAAGTTAGAATGTCATGCATCGTTGGATTTGTCATAAAATTTCCAATCAAATGGCATTCACAGCTAAAATTTTTCCAGGTTTTCAAATTTCGGCAAAAAATGATGATGTACCCCCTTATAAAAAAAAGCGAAATATGGGCATTTTTAAAAAAACCGCTTTCAAAAATCGATTTTTATACCAAAACTAAATTATTTTTTCTGGAAATCATTCGAGATGGATTTTATAGGACGCCAGCTGTACAAAACAGTCATTCTTATGGCTGTGTGTAATATTTTGGCCAAGTTACAACAAAAAGACCCTCTGGTAATGTTATATTTTCTTATTTCTCCAAAAACTCAAAAAATACCGCAAAAAAAAATTCTTATTTTGTAAATCTGGAAATGTTTTATTTTTTCTCCAAAAAGCAGTTTTTGTATCAAAACTCTGTGAAAAAATGGTCAAAGGTTGGAATGTCAGTCATTGTTAAATTTGTCATTCAACTTCCAATCAAATGGCATTCACAGCTTAAAATGTTTAAATTTTGAAATTTTTCTCGAATTTGAAAATTGGTCATAGAATTGATTTTTCGAGCTCGACCGTGGAAGAATAGTTAAGGTCAACAAAATGCCATTCTGTATACTGTACGTCTTATTTTGGGTGAGGTACACCAAAATAAGCACTCATAAAATATGTACGTTTCACTTATAACAATTCATAGTGAAATTATATTTTGATTGGTGCAAATATATCCCAGAATTGAGATATATCCCTTAGATTAAGTTGGATGCGATCCGCTTTTTAATTTGCTTCCTTTGCTCTTTCTTCGTTGTCTTTGATTTGTCCACTGAGGGACATTAAGATGGAATCCCCAGCATCCACACGTCAGCAATTGTTATTGTTGTGGGCACAAACGCCGAAAGCCTCAACGCCCCCAAAGTCTTCGTTTTTGTTCTCGTTTTCGTTGCAAGGACACACACACAGCTATTGCGCACTTGCAATTCCTCTTCCCCATTCCCCATTCCTCATTCTCAACATCATCCCCATACCCATCACCAGCTACGTTCCCATTTTCATTTTCATTTCCATTCACTTATTTTTCCTTTTGTCCCACGGCAACCGCATAAAATTTTCAGTGCAGTACACGCTTTTCCGACTTTTCCCAGCGACTCCCACATGAGCGATCACTTTAATTGCTGCAGCTTTATTTTGATGCCGCGGGTCATAAACGTAAATCAGAATTTTAGATGGCCCAAAAAAGCACTGAATGGCGAATGGGATTTTCTCCATTATTGCAATTTATTGTACAACTCCAATGTGTATAAAATGTCTAGCATGTAAAGGTAATTTCCAAATATACACAGGATACTTTGAGATATTTTTACAGCTGATTTTAAAGCTCTTGAGATTTCTGTGTAATCCGGAAATATTTTCCTTATAATGCCATAAGGTAAATGTTTCTAAAAATAAAGTCACTAAGGTTTTCTAATCCATTTAAAAGGAGTCTATAAGTAAGCAACAATATATTTTGAGTCTGGAAATCCAATGGATTTATTTAAAACTAGGTTTTTTTTTACTGCAACCTTTAAAACGTAGTGATTTCAACCCCCTAGTTATCCACATATTTTAGAGCTTCAAAGTTCTATCAGTTCTCCACAATTTGCATTTCCTAATAACTCATAAACCATAGCCCGGTTTTAGCCAAGAGACTGGCTTTTTGAGGGCTGAAGCTCATCTGAATCTGCCATCAAGATGGAATATATTTCTGAAATTTATGCCCCCTGGCCCCTGCTAATAGTTGGTCCGGTCCAGCAGATGTGATGGATGACCTGCTTCCCCAGCAGGCAGCAGAAGTGATGGCCCAGATTGTTCGGGACTGGGACACCGACTTGCTGCCCTCACATCTCCCACATCGAGTGCAAGCAAACAGGAAGTTTGATTACCAAAACATGGGTGTTGGCTTTTAGCCGGCAAAACTTCCTCATGCACCCATCCACTTTATTTCCGCAGCCCCAACATGATTAATTGTTGCTGCATATGCAGCTGCATTCCGACCTACATAAATGACCACGAGCCAATCGGTTTGCCTGTCTTTTGTCAAAGCCAAGAAAGCGGCAGAATGGTTCAGCTAATTATGTTGTGACTGCAAATGGACCCTCTTCTTCTCCTTCATTTCGCCAGAACAATGTGTGTGGTTTCCCACCGATGTCGACACTGAGAGAAAATGTCAGTCTTGTTCAGGCTAGTTTGTATAAGTATAAGTACATTGGAAATTCTATGGCGAATTTAGCTAGGTATAAGATTTCAAATTTCGTAAATCATTTCCCAGATTTTTTACAGAAAATCGTAATTTTTTTTAAAGTATTAGTTAAACAATGGGAACACAACATAAGTATTTAAGCCTTTATTTTCTCAGTGCAGCCATGCTGTGGTGACAAATGCAATAAGGAGCGAAAGCGAGAAGCTTTCGTTGACGGGGGAATGGGGGGAATGTTGAAGCTTACTGTTGCCAGTTTGATTAATGACGGCGATTGCCGGGACTGATGGCCAAGAGGGGGCTTCCGAGGGGGTTTTCGGGGGGATTTTGAGGGGATTTCGAGGGGATTCCTTTGACAGTGACCCCCGTCATTGGCCACTTTCATGGTCGTGCCACTTTATTATTGTGAGAAGAACTAAGTTGTCTGCCAGGCGGCCATAAAACATCTTCGCCGAGTCGTTTTTAAATCAGAGAGGACAGAGCCACAAGCGCCGGCCGGGAATCAATCAGAGGGGGCGGTGCGGTGCGAAAAGGAGGCGTAACCCGAGTGCAGCCCCACTGTCATCAATGTTTACGACTGGCCATAATGACGAAACACTGGGAAAAGCAGGAGATTGGGATGGCATAATCAAAAGGACACGCAGCCTCATCAAGTTTCTCGCATTTTCGGGGGCTTCCCCTTTGTTGTTTGGCTGCCATTGTTGTTGCGAACAATGCGTGAAAATAAAATGACCGATAATGAGTGCGTTCCCAAAACGAAAACAAAAAAAAAAAAAAAGGGAGAGAGACTATGACCCCAGTTTTGTCAGCCTTGCAGCCATTCATATTCATGTGCTGACAGCAAATTGTCCAGAAACTCAAAAAGGCAACAAGCCGGTGAGGCCATAAAACGGCCAGCAAACAGCAGAACCCGAAAAGGCCAACCCAACGCCCCCTTCATATGCCCATAAACACTTACAAAGATGAGCGAAAAAAATAGGAAGATATGAAAGACCAAGAAAGCAAAAAAAAAGGGTTTATGCTGCAGATGTTGCCAAAGGCAATAAAGTTGTGGGAAATGCGTCAGCTGATGGTGCGAATCGTTTTCAATGCAATAAAGGATTTTAGCCAATTGAGCATGTCGTTAAAAGAGATTTTTTATATTTTGATTATGATTAGATTCCCGCCAAAATTTCAAATTTTCTGCAGAGCTGCCGGACTGTTTCATTTTGCTAACAGACAATGTTAGAGTTGATAACATTTAACTCTCATGTTAAATTTACGATCTGTTAATAACATGCATATAATTTTAACTTAACATGGGGAAAATATCGATTTTAGTACATGTATAATAAAGCGCGAATATTCAAAATTGAACAAACACATATCAACCGAATCCATAACAGAAATAACAGCTGCCAGTTTTAAAAACCAAATATTTTAATATAAATTCAAAATTGAAAGCAAAAGGCATCGGTAGATGTTCATCTCATGCGTGAAATTTTAAAAATTTTACTGTGTGCCCACCAAAATAAATACAATTTGGCCATTGGTAAAACGATTTTCATATATAAAAAAATTCAAAATGCATAGGGAAGCACTATGCGATTTTAGGTGAATTATTGGAACACAACCAACAAATCTTCCACATAAAATAAGTACGATTGTGTAATTTACAAAACGATTTCTGTATGATTTAATAAAAAAATGTTGAGGACAGCGAGAGATGTTCGGGATAAATGCGCGGGTGCATCAGGACTTGGTCCTGCCCAGGGACTACATGAAGTCATCCGACTCGTTGCCCGCATCATAGTTGGTGCGCATATTCTCGCTCTTCTGCAGCGAGGCGTAGCTGCGCAGCTCCGCTTCTAGGGCACGCTGCTTGGCGGCCTCCTTCTCCTGATCCCGGCGCTCCCGCTGCAGTTTCTTCTGATCCTGGCGCTCGGCGGCATCTCGGGCCTCTCGCAGTCCCCGAAAATCGGGGTGCTCCTCCTCCGTCTTGGTCTTGTTCAAGCGGTTCACAATCTCATTGATGCGCTTCTCCAAACGGATGCGACGCACCGCCTTCTCGTTGTGATAGGCCACCTGGCCGGGCTCCATGTCCGGCGTCTTCTTGAGGTTCTCCCACATGGTGTAGACCACCTCCAGGTTGTTCACCTTGTTGCCCTGGATGCTGTTGGCCTTGCACAGCTGGGCGGCATCCACCAGTACATCGCTGGGTATGTCATCGATGGTCTGCCCCTTCCGCAGCCGCAAGTACACATGGGCCGAGGACAGGTCGTGCACATGGAACCACACATCCTCCGGCCAGCCCCATCGGATCAGCTCCTCGTTCTCGTGCTTGTCGCGCCCCATATAGAGCAGTGCCGGCGGCTGGACAATATTGCTCTTGAAGTAAAACACCATTTTCGCTCAATTCCAGAACAGAAACCACTAATAAAAAGCTTTAACTGGCGGCCACCAGCTCCTCCGATCGTTTAATGGGGTGTCTTCTGTTTTTCTGACCGCCGTGCTATGTGCTTTTCCTCTGCAAAGCCTAATTAGAATAAAAATAAATATTATTTTAGGTGTCCACTCAAAAAAGACAAATATTTTATTTTATTTACGTGCCGGTGTTGTGCAGATGGCCGATAGGTAAGTGAAATATAATCGATATCGATAGACTTTTGTGACTTGTGGCCACCTCTAGAAAATGCCACTCTCCAATGTGACCAGCTTAGGTTTTACCTTAAAATATACAACGGGATACGATTTTATTATAATGCATTGAATTATATTACAAAATATTTTAGTTATTATATAAATAACCGTACAAAATGCTGCCGCAACTGACCAGGGAATCCGCTCAGAACTTCTGTCGCACCTGTCTTATCCAATTGGACAAGGAGCTCCAATCAGAGGCCATTCCAATCAGCCAGGAGCTGCAGCAGTTACTCAATCTGAGGCTCACCAAGGCGGATTCGATGGAAAACCAGGACATGGAAAAGTGGCTGCCCACTGCAATGTGCCGGGAATGCCGACAGTTGGTCCAGAATTTCGAAAAGTTCCGCCGAAAAGCAGAGGATTGCAGGCAGCAGTTGCTGGAAATGCTGAGGAAGGACTCACGGGAACCCACGTTCGAGGTGGTCTACGACGACAGGGAGGAGGATCAAGGATCCCTGCATAGTCTGGAGCCTCCTGAACCCGATCCCGATCCCGATCCCATCGATGAGCCCGCCGAAAAGCAAGAGAAACCAGCAAGGAAATCCTCCCGAGGCTCGAGGAACACGCTGAAGTGCTCCCTGTGCCGGCACAGCTTTGCCCACCAGATCACCTTGGCGGCCCACATCCGCAAGGTCCACGAGGGCAGCAAACGACCCTTCCAGTGCGATCAGTGCGAGAAGGCATACAGCTTCATGGGTGGTCTGTACACGCACATTCGGGAGGTGCATGCCCCCAAGGAGCGGCGTCATCCCTGCGATCAGCCGGGCTGCGAGAGGATCTACACCAGCCGCATAGCCATGCAGAAGCACAAAAGACTTAAGCACAGTCCCAGGGACAGGGAAACGCTGAAGAAATTCATCTGTGAGCAGTGCGGGGCCAGCTTTAATCAGTCAGCGAATCTAAAGTACCACCTGAGGACGAAGCATCCCACGGAGGATGAGGTGGCCGCCAAGGAGGGCGGCGCTGCAGAGCGTCACTTCTGCGACATCTGCCAGAAGGAGTTCCATTCGCAGTACACCCTCAGGTATCACACGTTGCAGCAGCACGAGGGACAGGAGGAGCTGCCGCACGAATGCCAGGTCTGTGGCCGCCGGATGGCCAAGAAATTCATGCTGCTGCAGCACATGCTCATGCACTCCAGCGACAAGTTGCCCTGCGAGCACTGCGGCAGGCGGTTCGCTCGCAGATTCGAACTGGAGGCCCATGTGCGAGCGGTCCATTTGAAGCTCAAGCCCTTCGCCTGTCGCCACTGCCCGGAGAGTTTTGCTTCAAGGAAGACCCTGCGGCACCATGAGTACATCCACACGGGCGAGAAACCCTACGTTTGCGGCACCTGCGGACAGGCCTTCCGGCAGCAGACGTGCCTCAAAAACCACCGGAAGGTGCACGAGAAGTAGGCTTAGCTAGCTAATAAAAGTAATTTCCTAAATACAGTTTGTTTGCCCTGGAGTATTCGCCACTTAAGGTGGCTTTTAAGGGTCTGTTTGTTGACAATCTCGTCTTTATACTGCTTTGCATAAAGTAAAACCTTCGTTGTTGTTGCTTAATATCTGCTCAAGAGCCGAAAGTTTTATGAAGATGAAAGAGACAGTAATATTTATACATATATGGTCAACGAAAAGAATCTTAGACAGCTTATGGAGCAGTTAATGGAATATTTATAATTATTCCTTAAATATTGAGTTTTTGAACACAACAATAAACTGATCGTCAAAAGAACTTCCATTTAAAGAAGATACACTGCTTGCAAATAAGTCCTAACAGGAAGATCGGATAGTATTGGCACATCATAGGTATACAAAACCTAAACAAATCCTTGTCCAAAAAACACCGAAAGTAAACTTAAATAGCTTTAGTAACCAGTAACTTGTCGAGTACAGAGTTTCATGTAGAGTCCGGTGGCTTGGCTATGGGATCCACCTGTGTGCTGTGCTGCTCCCGTTCGATGTAGGCGGGCAGATCCTCCAGTGGGCGGTAGTACAGATGAACCGCCTGCGATCCGGCCATCATGGATGCCATAGCGCAGCCTAGAAACTTCATGTACTGGCCCCACGACACTCCGGCGGGCATTTTGTCTTCAATTAGTGCTGTTGCTTGTCCTCGCCTGCAAATTCTGCTGCTCCTCCACGTAGTTCTTGGCCTGGCGACGCTTAAAGGTGCGATCTGAAGGGAAAAAAATGAGGACTTAGTCTTGCAAACAGCTTTGCAGCTGGACTCTTACAAAAATTAGTCTCGCCCACTGTCCAATTGATCATGGAGAACTCCAGGCCGGCGCCCAGCAGGAAGAAGAGCGGCAGGAAGCGGTACACACCGAAGCGCTTCTTTCCGGGCCAACTGTCCAGCAGGCGACGCACGGAGGAGCCGCTGTACGGACTCATGTGTTTATCACCGGCGATTATATAATTCCGTGTCTTCTCGGCCTTTTTCCAGGCGATTCTCTAAGGTGCCGTGTGTGTATTATGCCCCTGTCATAGGTGTGCGTTAAAGCCCTAGATTATTTAATAGAAAATGTTTTATTTTGTTACCTTGTTTATTTATTATTTGTCAAAATATTAAGCAAACTTACACTTGCCTCACGTTCCAATTTCAATTCGTTCCGCCGCTGTCAGCTGTTTTATTAGAGATGTGCAATGCATGAGCGCTTGGTGATGGCCTCACGAAATGTTATATTATGAGATATCTTGTTGGCTGGTTAAAATATTATAATTGTTTAAAACCATAAGTATTTGAATACAATTACAAATATGTTGGCTTTAATATCTTCAAGTTCATACATTTGCTCAATTGCTTAGTCATTTTTATAAGCCAGTTCGCGAGTAAATTTATTTAATTTAGTAATATACCATACCTCGTGAGTGTTCCAACAGAACCGCTCACGCTGTCATCTCCAATTACTCATCCCTAGACGTAGCGTTGCAAAAAAATAACAATAGCGTTTGAATAGTAAACAATTTAGGGTCGAAATATGATACACAGTCTGTTTATTGTGAACAGCGGCGGGTAAGCCAGTCAGCCAGAGGGTATATAGAACCGATCTAACACCTCCCTATATCCGCAAAACAGCGAGGTCTTCCTGGAAAAGCACTGGCGTTCGGTGGTCTCGCGATCCGTATGCGAGTACTTCCTCGACGCCCAGCGAGCCGCTCCATATGTAAGCCGCCAATGCCACGTATGGACCAATATACTGACCATATCTTTCGATTGCAGGATGTGCCGCCGGTGATAGCCACGCCCCACTACTACCTCATCACGGTGCAAAGGGACACGGTGTCCTTGGTGGCCGCCTGCAAGCAGGAGGTGCCGCCGCTCTTCGTCATCGAGTTCCTCCATCGCGTGGTGGACACTTTCCAGGACTATTTTGGCGATTGCTCCGAGTCGGTGATCAAGGACAACTATGTGGTCGTCTACGAGCTGCTGGACGAGATGCTGGATAACGGCTTCCCGCTGGCCACCGAGAGCAACATCCTCAAGGAACTGATCAAGCCGCCGAACATCCTGCGCACCATTGCCAACACGGTGACGGGCAAGAGCAAGTAGGTCTTCTAATCGGAGGATTCATCCTCCTTCTCCTCCTCGCTTCCTCCTAAGCCCATTTTATTTACCCACAGTGTGAGCACCACCCTGCCCTCGGGTCAGTTGTCGGCGATTCCCTGGCGCAGAAGTGGCGTACGCTACACCAACAACGAGGCGTACTTCGATGTCATCGAGGAGGTGGACGCCATCATCGACAAATCGGGATCCACAGTCTTTGCGGAGATTCAAGGATATGTAAGACTTACCTTAATGGCTTAAAACGGCATACTGTAGACTCTTTTAAGAGTTATAAGCGCTAGCAAAATAATAGTTTTTGAATATTTTAGGCTCAAAGCTTGATTGTTACTAATTTTATCAACCTTAAGCATACGGATAAAGATTTTTGGGCATAAAGTGAAGCTTAAGATATCATAACTTTTCTTTATAGTGACGTTTTATCTATGCTCGGTTATGCTATGATGTTATGCCTTAAAAAAATTTTAATAAGTGAAAAAACAATCTCAATCGATTAAGGTAAAAAATATCAAAACAGCAGAAAATAACAACTCATTTAGAAATGTACGCATTACTAGCCAATATATAAACCTATCTCCATCATATATGATTTACATTCAGGTTTATAATAATACCTCTTCCAGATTGATTGCTGCATCAAATTATCTGGCATGCCAGACCTTACGTTGTCCTTCATGAATCCACGTCTCTTCGACGACGTGTCCTTCCATCCTTGCGTGCGATTCAAGCGCTGGGAGGCGGAGCGACTGCTCTCCTTCATCCCGCCCGATGGCAACTTCCGCCTGATGTCGTACCACATTAGCTCCCAGTCTGTGGTGGCCATACCCATTTACATCCGGCACAACTTCTCAATTAAAACGGGGGAGCAGGGTCGTCTGGATCTGACAATTGGACCAAGGAATACCCTGGGACGCACCGTGGACAAAGTGAAGCTGGAGCTGACCATGCCGCGATGCGTGCTCAATTGCCTATTGACGCCGAATCAGGGAAAGTACACCTTCGATTCGGTAACCAAGACACTGTCCTGGGATGTGGGGCGCATTGATGTGTCCAAACTGCCAAATATAAGAGGATCGGTGCGTATATGATGGAAAAGCTGGCATATTCATTTATTTTGGTGTCACACAAGTATTCATTGATTAAAATATTATATATAAAGAAGACCAATAGGTCCAGATTTTTGTAAAATCATTTTTGTTTTAACCGATTAGGTATTTGATACCAATTTAATTACTGCCTCTTTACTTGTCTCCGTTTTTCTTTAGCAAATGTATACAATTAGTAAGAGTATTATAAATTAATGCAAGCATTTATAAAGCAGGGTTTTCTATTTGATCTCTAAAAAAAATAGAACAGATAGAACAGATTTATGTGATACCAAAAATTTGAAAATTATTTATAAGACACCCATAAATTAATTTGTTCTCCCTATATCCCATTAGGTTTCCATTACGCCCGGGACGACCAACATCGATGCCAATCCGTCCGTGAATGTCCAGTTCCAGATCTCGCAGCTGGCCGTCTCCGGCCTGAAGGTGAACCGCCTGGACATGTACGGCGAGAAGTACAAGCCCTTCAAGGGCGTCAAATACCTGACCAAGGCGGGCAAGTTCCAGGTGCGGATGTAGACGAAATCAGCATCCCGTTCCCGATCCCAATCCCGATTCCAGCTTTACTTAAGTGCTAACGTTAAGTGTATTCCACTGTTTTATGTCACTCGGTGTTTTTGCCCCCGTCTCTCCCTCTCTATCTCATCATTGTATCTATATCTACCCATTAAAGTTAAACTCCAATTGTAGTCGCCGTGTCGTTGTTCTTGGGCGGCGTCGCCATATTCAAAGAGTTGGAATGCGAGAATCGATCGCGAATGAAGTTGCAAGTCTTCGAGTGGTATGGCAATGGCTCCGTCTCCATCTCCATCTCCGCTGATTCAACTTCACTTCACTCCACTCCACTCCACTCCACTCAACTCGATCCACTGCGCCTGGCAACAGCTAGCGGAGGAAACCAAGAAATTTAAATAAAAATGCAAAACTTGATTTTGCAGCCAGGCGGTCAACGCATTTAGCATACGAATAGTATGTATGCATCTGTTTATAAATGTGTGTGCACAATGGTGGGAAGTGGAGATTCGCTAAAGTTTCCAAGAGAATACTCAAAGTAATTGGACATTTTTAAAAGGTGCTAAATGATTAATGAAAGGGGTTATTGTTCATTACAATTTTTTGTTATAAAGCACATATTTCTGTAACTCTGTTTTCAAACTTATTAAAAACTTTGCTTTATTTTAGAAATTAAAGAAATGTAGACTTGCATTACATATCATTTTTTTTAACTAGTTATACCTTTTTAAATGTGTAGATAATGGAAAATTAGTTTTAGAAAAACCGCTGAAGGTTCCACTGTTTCTGGCTCGTTATCTCCTTATACAACCTTAGCTGCATTTTTGTCTGTGGTTGAGACCGGTAACCGGTTTGCCCCCTGCCACGCCCCCAGTCCCACCCTCCACCCCGTCCTGCCCCTTTCCTAAACCCACTGCAGTCGGAGCAGCAACAGCTTCTAGGCTTTTGGGCGCGGCGTGCAACGGTAGCCAACAAGCGCCACCGAAAGGCGACTTCGACCATGGCTAGACATATATATATATACACACACACACACATACACACAGAAACAGAAAGCCAACTCTCTTGACCGGGCCTAAAAAAATCCGGACCCTGAACGGGGGATCGATAAAATAACTCAGGTTTCGGGTCCAGCTCGCAAGCCGCGAGTCATTTTTCAAGCGTGGGAAACACTCGTTAAAAGCTAAGCAAGTTCTTTAAAACAAAAAAAAACAAAACAAAAAAGTGAGCCACACAGCATGGCGGCATGCCCCAAAACCCAGAATCAGAATCCCTATGCCCATATACCAAGTATTTCGATGCGAGGCGTTTTTAAGCGCTCATTAACAACGGCCGACAAAGGTTCGTTGCCTAAGTCTTTCGTTTTGCCCACCTAGGGCTTCCCTATCTCCCTCTCCCTCTCTTTCCCTCCTGGGAATGGAAATTCGCTGGCTGACATTTAGCCGCCGTAATTGATAGCGCATTGCACACGGTTCGATCGTAAACGTTTTCCATATCATTTGCATTTTCCATCACTCGAGGGAGAGCAATTTAAGATCAAGAATTTAAGGGCAGCGCCAAGGAGTCGAATATGCAAATACCCTGGGTATTTGTGTCTTATGAATAGTTATTAATTGCATATGCGCTTATATCTATTGATAAACTAGTTCTCTAAATTAATTTCTACTTTTAGTAAAGGCACTATTCTAAAAATGGATAAATGGTTTGTCTTTTTAATTCGTGCCATTCCTATCATCAAAATAAAAATAATTTTAATGGTATCAAATATTTAAGCTTCAACTAGAAGCTTTGACAGTCAAATGCCAAAAATCCCGTATAATCTGTAAAAAAAACGAAGCATTGTTATTAGTGGAGGTTTTATTGTTTAAATAAACTCACATACATATTATATTAGGGTATCCAAAGTAATACTTTAAATTCCCGCGGGGAAATGTTAATTGCATTTGGAATTGTTGCAGTTCATGAACAGATTTGTGGCACCTGAATGTGTTTTTTAATGAGCCCCTTGAGGTGTCGATGAAGCCTCATAAATTTCCTCTTAAAGCGAGAATGCACGTGATTTCGTGCCCTCACACATGCTTAAATCGATACAAAAATACTTTTTTTTAGCTTCTATTGGGCTTTTGTTATCTGGTTTGGTTATTCTCGTATGCTCCAGTAAAGTTTAACTATTATCGTCTTGCTAAATGATTTAAAATGGATGCAATGCAAATGCAACATTGCATTTGATCTACTTTCATGTTGAAATATTTGAACAGCTCGAGGTTTAATTTTTAAGTAAATTTAAAATCGCCATTTCGTGCATTTCTTTATTTTTATCGTTTTTATGTTTATTTATCGTGAGTTTGTTATTTAGGTAAGGTCCACTTTAAGTTGAGTTTACATAAAGTGCAGATCGATTTCTCTTTGGAGTTTCTAAAACCTAACGCGTTTTGACAATAATAGCTGACAAATTAAAACACACTTTAAACATATAATTTGTAGTTAAATTAAACTTTTTTTAAAATTTTTTAATGAACATATATCTGTTGTCTGTTTCCAGCTTAGTAATATTTAGTTATAACATTTTTTTGTGTATGCTCTTTTCTTGCATATATATATTTTTTACGATCTGCAACCATGTGGCATGTTCATAACTAAACATCCAATAACACAGTGAAGCTAATGGAGCCTTTGGCCTCAAAAAAATTCGAGTGAAAGACAAGCAACAAGCATTTGTCATTAGCGCAACAAGGTTGCACCCCCTTTTGTCCCCCCCCTGACAAAGAAAAACAGGGGCGGGTACCCAAAAGGGGTTTTGAGAGGGGGGGAAACTGTAGCAGGTCGTGCAATTGCATTCGCTGTTCGATAATAATTTATGCAACTTGTCGCCGCTGCACTAAGCAAATGTTTAAACACAGCTTGTTCGCATTGTTTGCCTTGCTTTGTGCTTTGTGCATTTCGCCTTTGTTTGTTTGTTTGTTTGCTTTGATTGCTGTTTGCCCAACTTTGCGAAAGGTGTTGAATGCCGGCCGCGTCAATTGGATCGTCCCACATGATTTCAAAACTATGGTTTATATATATAAAAACCAGAGCACAAACCCCCCACAGAAGGTCTAATAAACATTCGCCGTCTGGTCGGCTAATTAGAATCGCTGATTGTCTCCGCACAGCGGCAAGAAAATTGGGGGGGAAGGTGGGTGGAAAATGGCAGAAAATGGAAAACAGATCTACCGGGAAATGTTCACACAGTTGGCACTAATGGGTATTCGAATGCGGATACCCTAATTCTATATATTTATAACATAATCGACGAAACAAATCACATTACACAATACTACACTTTATTGATTTGACTGATTGATTTTTATATGAACTACTTTTATTTTTTACTTCCTTATCTGTTCATCAAAATAAATCATTTATAAATTTACAATTTTTTCCAACTGAGCTACTGAAATGTGCATTTAAGGTATCTACAAAGTAGCTACAATACAACTAAAAGGTTATTCAACTGTGCCATTCGTAAAGATAAGTGTTATTACAATGTAGGCAAAATGTAACTGAAAGGCAGCTAAAATGTAACTGAAAAACTATCAAAATGTAACTACAATTTAGCTAGAACGATACAATGTAAAGATCTAACTAAAATGTATTTAAAAAGTGCTACAATCTAACTAAAATGTAACTAATATGTAACTAAAATGTTACTAGAATGTAACTAAAATGTGTCTTGACTAAGTCTAAGGCAGTTTTTTTTCCCGTTTTTCGTTGTTGTTTGGAACTACAATCTATTCCGAAAGCCACCTCCCATCCGAAAACCGGTCATAACCGAAAAATTAGAGGGTATGCCCGACAAGAAGACGCCTCCACAAAATAGGCTTTCTGTGTCACTGCGATGAGGCTCATTAAAAACGATTGAAACTTCCGCCATTCGATGGCTTAAGTAGAACTGAATTCAGAATCAGGCCCAGAACCATTATCCATATCATAATCATAATACATATCGGAATCTCAGACAGTCGAAAGTGTGTTTATGGAATGCTTTACTTCAGCTGTGTGTCGTTACTCATTTTACCGCTTTTAATGGCAAAAAAAAAAACGGGCGATAAACAAAAGTCCCGAAAAATTAAAAAACCCACACACAAAAATAAAAAACAAGAAATGACTAAAATTTCCAGCCCTTGTCCCCGAGGATTTGCATACAAAGTCCTCAATTTGCGATAAACAAAATATACGAGTACAAATTGCTTACACATACGAAAGCAGGGGTCTTTTCTAACCGATAACTGTGATATGCTAATGCTAAAAGTCTTGTCCATTTGTTTATTTCTCATGTGCAGCGAGTAATTAGCCAGTGTCACAAATTGTTTTTAATTAATCGATTTATAAGAGGTTAGAGGTCGTTTTATAGATTATACAGAAAATATTTTTATAGAGGGTTGACCGATATAAAGTAAAAATTATATATATATATGTATAATGATCTTTGTTTTAACTTTAAGTAATTTTAGGTTATGTCACCGCGTAAATAAGTTTACTATAAATAACATCTTTAGAGTGAACAAAAAAATAATCAAAAATTAAAACAGGCCAAACTGGAAGTCTGTTTTCGCCCCGTTGAAGTTAATTTACCGCATTGAGCAAGAAGCACAAAGAATTAAAACAAAAAACCAGACACAATTGCGACAAAAGACCAAATCAACAGATAAACAAAATAAAAAAAAACAGCCATAACAATAAATCAGAGACGACAAAACCGTCAACGATTCACAGACTGACAACGAAAAGTGGACTTTTTTAAATAAATAAATTGTGTCTAAAGCGAAATTTAGGGGTTTTCGTGTAATGGAGCTTACGTAAGCAGTCGCCGCAGTGCCCAGCCACCAGAGGCCGCCACTGAAATTGATCGCATGGGGGTGTTTATACTGTAAATCTTTTGTGCGAAATTGCGCAAAATAATTTGACAATTGCAAGTGCAAGGTCAACTAAAAGGTGTATGTGGGACACCCATCTGTAGTTTACTAAACTAAACGATTGTTCAGTTTACTGCATTCGGGAAATAAGACCAGGTATTAGGGGAAATGCAACAACATGCAAAAACCAGGAAATTCTGGATTAAAATCGTTTTTATTTTTTTGTGGTTCATGGTAAACTTGGGGTGTTTTATTTTTGACTTTATAAAAAACCCTCTTGT